CGAGGTTCGTTGTTTAGAAAAGATCAACCTCGAGAACGAGAGTCGCCATGCAGTGGAACTCAACATTGAAAGATAAAGTTCATTATTGAATGAAACAGATCTATGAGACTCAGAGCTCGTCATTGGATACGAGGTTCGAGGTTTGCTAGCGGATATGGAATTCAGAGATCGTCATTGGTTACGAGGTTCGAGGTTCACTAGTGGATACAGGGTTTGAAGCTCGTCGTTGGACACGAGTTGAACTCTAGCTGTCAAAGATGAAGTTTGTCATTGGATACGAGGTTCGAAGCTCGTCATTGGATACGAGGTTTGGAGTTCATCATTAGAGGTGAAGTTCGTCATTGGAGATGAAGTTCGTTAATAAAACCAAAGCTTGTCATCGGATTTAAAGCTCATCAGTGAAGACGAAGCTAATGAGGTTCACCACGCAGCAAGGCTCGACATCAAAGACAAGGCTCACCACGCAATGAGGCTCGACATTAAGGACGAGGTTTGCTAAGGCAGTGAAGTTCGTCACCCGCATTAAATCAGACTGTAACAGTCATGAAGACCCAGTCAGCCAGGTGGACTAAATTCAAGGAGTCAGTTACGCCATGACTTCACAATTTCAGTGCATCAGTTACGCCCATGACTCCACTATTGTAGCACGTCGGTTACATGCTAAAAAAAACCTATAAATAGCCATCGATGGCTACAGAAAGAGGGGATTTTCGATTTTAATTAGAGATTTTCAAGCTTGGACTTAGAGAAGCATCAGAGATCAAAGTTTCTACACGTCGATCCGGAGTACGAACCTCAATTCCAGCCTGTTAACAAAGGTCAGAAGCTCTTGCGATCTTGATCTGATCGTCAAAGGGAGGCAAGCTCGACTCAAGTATCGGGGGAAGCATTCTTTCGCCACCTAGAATTCACCTTAAACAAAAGAGAAGCTGAATTGATCTTCTCTTCCTCTGTAATCGAGAGAGTGTGTGAGTGATTGTAAGGGTTTCGTACCAAATGATCGAACCCATTTCTTAAAACAAGAAAATCAATCCCAACATCAATTTTTCGACCCTACATTCTCATGATCGGATTTTAAACCTTCATGTTTGCTTTGTAAATTAATAAAATTTTTATGTAATTTGTTATAGGCATGCAATAATTTTTCACTAGCACAGGTAAGTTCATCAAAAGATAAATCATATTCGGATTCGGACTCGTTTACCACACTAGGGCTATCGCCTAGTGGCCGTGTGCATGAAAATGAAGCTCCACATGAACTAGAAGCGGAATCCTCCAAAGCTTGTCGGATCGCCTCCAAATTCCCTTGATGTGCTTCTATAAGTTTTCATAATGTGTAAGCACTATCAAAAGAATCAAGCTTGTTAGACATAGATGAATCGAACGCATTATGTAAAAATTCTAACAAAAGCTTATTCATGGTAAACATACGATGATTATTTTTATTCCACTTGAATTTCTCCGAAGTGGGCACAATATAAGTATCATCTATAATTTCCCATAAATCGAAGTGTCTAGATCGAACAAAAATTTTAAATCTAGCACACCATTGGACATAGGGAAAATTATCTAATCTAGGAGCAATATTAATGGCATAACCTAAACAAGGTGCACCGTGCATATCCATAATGTATATATGAGCAAGCAAGATAACAATAAAATCACAAAACTAGATTAGCATAAAAATAAGATAACTTGGATCATTAACTCAATGTGATTAGTCCTTAAAACAAAGAGCACCAAGCTCTGATACCAATTGTTAGACCATAAGGTTGCTATGAAAGAACCCTAGAGGGGGGTGAATAGGGTTTATGCTAATCTAATCCGATTTAAATGCCAATTAAAACTTACTAACTAATATATCCTAGCAAGTATGATATGCTACAAGATATGTGCAAGGATATATAATATAAACAAGGGTAAACAAAATTAACATGCAACAATGGCTATATAATACAAGAATAAATGCACCAATGCCAAACTCAAATACAAGGAAATGATCACGGAGTTCGGACCTTCCGTCCTACGTCTCCGCTCCCCACTCCCGGGGAGAATCCACTACATAACCCGGTTTGGAAGCCAAAACTTCTCAACACACTCGGTTTTCTAGCTAACCGAAAACTCTACACACTCGGTTATCAAGTCAACCGACAACTCTCACAAATCCTCACAATGTACATACACAAGCTACAACCTCAAGTGTTGGTCCTCACGTATCGACTCCCTCAAGTGCTTGGAATTATCACCTCTCACTAGGCCACCGACGCCACTCCTCTCGGTATCGACTCCGTCCTCACCACACACTCCTCTCGGTGTACAAGTGTATTACAAAGTGAACTTCACAAATTAAGCACAACAAATGATTGTTCTCTAAATAAGGTGAGAACTCAATTAGGCTCAACTCAATGTTACTATCTCTCACAACCCCAAATATATTATGAATATAAATACAATAAGCTCAAGTGGGTGTGTGTAACAATGAGATTAATCAAATCTAAACTCAATATAAAACTAGCTTTAATAAGATGATAATTAAAAAAATAAATATAAAGCTAGAAAAGAGTTTAAAAAACTTCTCAATAGATGACAAGAGATGGAGGGAGAATAGTTGATTGCTCAAACTCCAATAGATGATCTCCTCAAGCCCTTGTGAAATTATCTTCACAAACGAAAACTCTTAAACAAGGCTTAAACACATTTAAACAAACTTAAACAAACTTTAAACCCTTGTTAAACTTTCTTAAAACATTCTCTTGGTTACATGAGAAGGATGACAGCAACGGGGTATATATAGTCACCCAAAACCTTAGCCAAAACCCAACTGAAAAGACAAAAAAGCCCCCCAAAAACACTGCTGGAAACTAGCCGTTACTGTGCAACGGCTCTTTCATAAGTCGACTTATGAGTCGACTCATGAGTCGACTCATGAGTCAACTTATGAGTCGACTAATGAGTCGGCTTATATGAGTCGACTCAGCAGAAGAAAAATCATAACTATGCTGCACTTCGTGAGTCGACTTATGAGTCGACTCATGAGTCGATTAATGAGTCGACTAAACATGCACAGACCTGAAGTGCATAGAAAAACTTAACTTTAAACTGGGTTTAAAAATATCAAATAAATTCAAAAAAATGTAAAACTTTGAAAAATGATTGTAGACATGATAATAAGCATGCTACAAAAACTGGTTTTCAAAAAGGACTTCCCAAATATAAAATATCATCATTTTGTAAAATAGTCCAAAACATGAAAATGTAAACATATGAAATTTGACATTTTGGCTAAGCCATGTTTTGAAACTTTACAAAATGATTTTGTAGACTTAATAAAATATATATATGATTATTGTTAAGTCTATAAACCAAGAAAATAATATTTTCACAAAAATACGTGTTTTGCAAACTTTCAAAACAATAAACATGATTTCATTGAACAAAATAAAATTGATATTAATGAAATCATATGTAAGCATATAAACATGAAACAAAAATGTATTTTTCCAATTATATTCAATTGTTTCATATTTAAACTTGAAAAACCAAAACAATAAATATGAAAGATGTAATTTCATATTTATATAAACTTGGAAACAAAAACATGTATGTATACATATACCTATATATACCAAAACTAAATTGTGTGTGTGTGTGTGTGTGTGTGTGTGTGTGTGTGTGTGTGTGTGTGTGTGTGTGTGTGTGTGTATATATATATATATATATATATATATATATATAAACAAAGCTTGTGTGGTATATATATATAACTATATATATACAAGGAAACCAATATAATGTGTGTGTATATATGGTTGAGCTTAAAGTACCAACATACATAATATAAACCTAAACTAATGTTACCCAAGCTTGATCTTGATCTTATATAAATTTGGAAACATTACGGATGAAGCTAGAACTTGGATCTTCAACTTGAATTGCATAGGCTTCAACCACTATTCCGCCAACCTCCATTGGATATGATCGTTAAAGCACAATTCCATCCATCCTCCAATACGTTGTTTGTCTACAATAAATAGAAATACACAAACACTAGACAAACAACATTAGATGTAAATTGTTTGTTATATCATCATCAAAATAAGAAGGCCAACAGGGGTTTTGCCTATGCCAGGGTTTATCCGTGGACCACCGACTGACCAGATCCAATATAAATTTTGTTGCCTTGCAAAGGAGATAAGAAACTAAAGTAACTATCTCGGCAAAGTGAGATAATCACTCTTCTCGAGAATCGTAGCTAGGTACGATCTCAAAAAAATGGATGAACGGATGTAAATCTCTCGAACTCTTCCTCTTTATGCTGAATAGCTCGCCGTGACCTCCTCCTCCTCTGTGAAATTCATGCTCCACACTCTCTGATCCAACAAGGCTTCGCCAAGGCTTGAGAATTTCGAATCTGTGCAAATGAAGGCCCTAGGGCTGTATTTATAAGCTTCAGAAGCCCTGTTTTTGAATAAGAACGAATAATTTGATCTTATCCTCGGTTGCAACCACTTAACCACGTTTATAGATAACCTTAAATCAGTTAGGGAGGCTCTGGATCAGAATCGGGGTAGTTCTGGACAGTCTGCGGTAGTTCTGGATAGTCTGAGCTAGTTCTGGATAGTCCGGGGTAGTTCTGGACAGTCTGGGCAATTCTGAACAGTCCAAGGCGTGTTTATGCACAGTGTGGGTGCATGGCAGGTTTGACATCTCTGGTTTCACCTTAGACTGTAGCCTTGTGTGAACCCAGAGGCGTCACACATATACTCACATGAGAATATACCCTGTATGCATTAGTATATGTTGATGACATCTTGCTTACAAGAAGCTGAAATGCGACCCTCACTCATCTCATTCAAAGTCTTGAACGTGAATTTTCTTTGAAAGATCTTTGTCCTCTTCACCACTTCTTAGGGGTTGAGGTTATTCAACAACCATGAGGAATAATTCTCTCTCAAAAGAATTATATTGTGCATCTTCTCACTTGCACAAATTTGGAAGGAATGAAGCCTATTCAAACACCTTTATCGACTAGCACCAAGCTCACCCATACTGTTCCCTTATTCAACGATCTGTCCTTATATCTTCCAGTGGTTAGTGCTTTGCAATATGCTACCCTCACTCGTCCCGATTTAGCATTTGCAGTAAATAAGTTACATCAATTTATGAGCATGTCGACTATCAATCATTGGCAAGCAGTTCAGCGCAACTTACGGTATCTAATGCATACAATATCTCATGGATTATTTATCTCTAAGTCAACCTCTCTTCTTCTTCATGAATTCTCCAACGCAAGTTGGGCGGGTTGCCCTGTTGATCAAAAGTCCTCTGGCGGTTATGCAATTTTCTTGGGCAATAATCTTATTTCATACTCAGCTCACAAGCAACGTATTGTTGCTCGATCCTCGACCGAATCTGAATATGATGCGTTTGCTAATGCAGCTACAGAGCTAATTGGGCTTTGTTTGTTGATTAATATGCTGCAAGTTCCTCTTCAATCTCCTCTAATTCTATGGTGTGATAATTTAGGTGCTATCTATGTTACTGACAACCCAATATTTCACACTCACACTAAACATATCGAGGTGGATTTTCACTTTATTAGAGATCAAGTGGCAAAGGGGTGGTTAAACTTACATTTTGTATCAATGTATGATCAACTTGCAGATATTATGACGAGGCCTCTAACGACTAAATGTTTTGCTGCTATTCGTGACAAGCATCGTGTTCATTGCTGTGAACCCTCAGGCTTGAAGGGGCATGATAGAGTTTGTTGTAAACAAACTCTTGTTATGTATGCTCAGTTCTGCATTACTGTATTTTATTGATAAATCTATTTGGTTATGCATGATTACCCATAACAAGATTTGTGATGATAACATTAAATATCTTATGTAACTTCTCATGCATATCTCCTGTAACTACTCATCTATATCTCATGTAACCTACAACTCTATATATATCAATGCTCACTCACGATTGAGGTGAGTTAGCCTTCTACAGAATTCTATTCTTAGCTTCTTTAACCAATAACAGGATTAGGATCAAGACTCGGCTAGGATCAGAGGACTAGTCGAGCCAATAACATTACCTGGACTTTATAAATCATAAAAAGACCCTCGAAACTTGTTAATGTCGTTTATGAGAATTTCTGATAATTCAATGGCATTTAGTACAACTTTGAAAGTTCTATGTTTCTTTTTATGATTTATTAAGTTGAAATTTAACCTTGCACAAGTATTTCCTTGAAATCAGAAGAATATGAACATGTATATGTTCTCTTTGTTTAGCTTCCACAGGTTGAAATCAGCAACGTCGTGTTCAAGTAAATAAGAGGAACATCAAAGAGTGAGGTCGCAGTGAAGAAACCGCGAGAAATTTGGTGAAGAATAGATTTTGGAAGCGCAGGGGAACTGTTTGGAAGCTGTGCGGTCGACCGCGGCGTAAGGCCGGTCGACCGCGGCGTAAGGCCGGTCGACCGGGAACGTGTACAGACTCTGGGAGGAGTCTGGATTTGGCGCGGTCGACCTCCACGGTCGATCGTCAGACCCTGTAAGTGATTTTAGGCTCTGTCGTTGGTCGCTTCGTTGATCGCGGTCGACCGTGGCGGTCGACCGCGTAACGGGTCAGGCCCAGAATTGTTTTCCTGTTCTTGTTTGGTTTTGGTTTTTGTATAAATATCAATACACATTCTAGGGTTTCTTAAGGCAAAAGTTTGGGATATTTGGAGCACAGAAAAGAGGTATTTTCTGAGCTATTTGATTAGGGTTTATTTAGAGAGATTAAGAGCTTTGTTCATTCGAGTGATTTGTAATCTCAAGTTGTACTCTTCTTCTCTATTAGTGAAAACATCATCCCCTTCTTGCCCCGTGGACGTAGGCAATTGCCGAATCACGTTAAAATTGGTGTTTTGTTTGTGTATTGATTTTGGTTGGTTTTGGCCCTCGTTAACTGGCAATTGGTTTGGTTCCTCGACATGATTTTCAACAACAATTTGGGTTTTTTCACCAACAATTGGTATCAGAGCTCGGGCTACGCTTGGGCTATTTGTAGGAGTAGATCAATTTGGGAAGCTCGTCTAGGGTTTTAGTTGGTAAGAAATGTGGAATCTTTTAGGTAAAGCTTCTTTCTTTTCTCAGATTTGGATATATTCTTCGTTTGTTTTCCGCATTGGTTGTTGGTGTGTTGAGGATTATGACCAAGAAAGAGAGAGTTGAAGGTGGTTCTTCAGGTGTGAAGACTGTCCAAAGTTTGAGTATCCACTCGATAAAGATTAACGTGGAGAAGTTCAATGGCACTAACAATTTTGAACTTTGGCGATGCGAAGTCTTGGATGCGCTCAATGCGCAGAATTTAGAAGGTACGTTAGAGTTGGATGGGAAACCGGACGACATTGATGAGAAGGTTTGAAAAAAGATGAATCAGACAGCGTGTGGTGTGATTAGGTCTTGTCTCACTCAAGATCTAAAATATGATGTGATGAATGAGACTTTAGCTAAGAAGATTTGGGAGTCCTAGAGAGCCAATGTACTTGACGCAAGAGCGTCGAAAATGCATTTGAAGAGGAGGCTTTATCGCTTCCAATTGAAGAAGGGGACATCCATTAGTGATCACATGAACCACTACATGAAGCTTCTTGCAGATTTGACGAATGTAAATGTTATTGTTGAAGATGAGGACAAGGCATTACTATTGTTGAGTTCCTTACCCGATGAGGAATATGAGATGTTTGTCCTTACTCTTATTAATGGGAAGACATCTCTTTCATATAATGAGGTCACCGCTGCATTAGTGAATTACCAACTTAGGAAGAAGGACAAGGAGACTTCTATTGAGCCGGTAGCGGGGGTATTGGTTACAAGAACAAAGGGTCCAAACCGAGGTAGAAGGTCACAGTCTAGAGGGGCACATCTTGGAATTCGTAGGAATCAGTGTGCTTTTTATAAAGAAGATGGACATTGGAAAGCTGAATGCCCAAAGTTGAATGATCAAGCCGGGAAGAATAAGGGGAAAGCTATTCAGGCTTTAGAGGTGAATGTTGTAAAGGCTAGTAGCAATGATTCAGATTCAGATTTTTTGGGCTACTCATTATCTACACTGCCGTCAGTTTATGTTGCCTACTCTACAGAGTAGATGTTGGACTCGGGTGCTACATACCATATTTACCCTAAGAGGGATTGGTTCTCCAGCTTTCAAGAGTTGGAAAAAGAGATTTCGTGCTCATGAGTAATGATCATGAATGCCCTATTGGTGGTATTGGCACCGTTCAGATCAGGATGAGTGACAGAGTAATTCTGGAGTTGGTTGGAATGAGGTTTGTTCCTCAGTTGAAGAAGAACATTATTTCACTTGGAGCTTTGGAGGCTGCAGGCTATAGGGTGACCTTGGCGGATACATGTTTAAAGGTTATATTTAGGTCCATGATTATGATGAAGGGCATCAGAAGGAGTAACTTATACTATCTGTTTGGGAGCACGGTGATTGATAGAGCTCTGACGACTTCATTGGATTTGGCTAGCTTGTGGCGTAGTTTGGTGCTGGGGTATTTGATTGGTGATGTCGTGCATAAGTTGTTAAGGAGTGCTTTGACCTGCATATGGAAGTTCTTTGAGCACATTGGGATGAGAAAGACCGTGGTGGAGTTTGGCACTTCTATCCATCGAGCGAGGGGTCTTTTAGGAGGTGTTCAGTCAAGCATTTGGGGGCCTTCCAAGGAGGCATCATTGGGAGGTAATCGTTTTGTAGTTTCTACAGTTGGTGATTGTTCTAGGCATTATTGGGTCGCGACCGGTTCTCGTTGGTGTAAAGTCCTAGAAGTCAACAACAATTGAAAGAAGTATATTGGCAGAAAGGTAACTCGTTATTCTAGCTTTGGTAGGGGTCCTTTCTTACGTTTGTGCCGAGCTCATGGCAATTTGAAACACTTCATTGATGTGGAGACTTTGGAGCGACGAGATGAGATGACAGTTTCGATGGGTCGTTCCTTTCTGGAGGAGGATAGACGTTGGTTGTCGAGCATTGGTTCTGGTTCTTGAGTTTCGACATATGTAGGCTGTCTAAAAATCACAATAGATAGTTAATTCCCCATCAAACACTGATGATGGAAGTTACAATCTGACGACTTCCAGAAGGCTACAATTTGAAGACTTTCATGTAGATCGATGAAGGTTACAATCCGACGACCTTCACAACAACTGATGAAAGCTCTAATTAACAGCCTTCACAATCAACATCGGGAGTTATAATCTGACGACTCTCACATATCAAAGAGTTAAAGCAAAGATTACAATCTTTGCAACGCTTTAGAGACTACAAATCGACGATCTCTTCAAATCAAGACGCAGAAGTCCTCCCCGCATACCATCATTAAGACACAACACCAATTCGACTGCGGACGCAGGTCAAACCTGGCTGCAAACGCACCTCACATTCAGCTCTAAACGCTGCAAACGCAGCTCAGATCCAGTTGTCAACGCAGCTCATGTTCGGCCGCAAACGCAGCCTCCGAAAGCTGCCAACGCAGCTTCCATCCGCTGCCAAACGCAGCTTCCAAATTGCTGCAAACGCAGCTCACGAGCAGCTTCCAACGCTGCCAACGCAGCTTCCAAATTGCTACGTCTGAGCTTCCAGACACTGTGTTTCAACACAGAATTCATGCCAGAATGCGGATTATGCATTTGACTCGTTCAAACACGAGCTGAAAAGTTTCAAAACCGTTTTCCACGATCTGAGGGGATCACAACTCCACTCAGGAGTGATTTAAGGGGCGGTTACATCTCATTAGCCCCACTTAGGAGCGAATTAAGGGGACGGTTATACCCTTTAATCCCCTATAAATAACTAAGAAATCAGCTTAGTTCGGGTCCTAGATTTTTGGAGGCTTCTCTTTGGCAGCAAAGAAGATATCTGGACCTGGGGCTTTTGGATCCGGCTCTGGGGTAGTAAAGAAGAGATCCTTGGCTTGTCTAACCAATTACAGTTAAGATCAATCAACTCATCAAGAGTTATAAAACTTGCTTTGCAAGTTCTCCACAGCGTCAAATCGTGAGGAGGAGATACCATTCCAGTGAATCAAGACGTGCGGATCGTCAACGGAGAGCAAATTCGACGCGAGCATTCGAAGGAAGCACTCCATCGCCACCGTGAAGAACCCATAATTAAACAAAGGGGAGAATCCAAATTAATTCTCCTCTCTTTTGTAATCAGGAAATCCAATTGTAATTGAGATTAAAGGAATACAAATTAATTTTCCTTCGTTTCTTTTACTGTAAATTTTTCCACAAACAACATATTTGGGTCATTTTATCATAGGTCCTCGACTGCTGCATTAGGAGTTATTAGATCTGGTGAAGCTGCTTCAGATTATGGTTAGCATCGAATATTTGATTACCCAGCATTTGGTCACATCGAGGATGTGAGATTTGATCCGATTGTGCGATTGGGATTCGGAGGCTCATTTGATTATCGTTTGGGAGCTTCTGATTTTGTTCTGAGCAGAAATATCACTTTTGACTCTCAGCAGGTGGAGAGTGTTGATTAGGTCATTTGGATATCGCAGCAGGTGGAGGGTGATGCTACTTCACGTTGGGTGGAACTTATTCCACATACTCCAGATCATACTGCGTCATTTGGGATTCCAGCTGAGGTGGCACAGGTTGGAGATCATTTGATTTCGGATGCAGATGATGGATTGGCTTTGGTTTCGGTTGCAGCTGGTGGACATGTTTTGGATACGGCCATTAGTTCACCTCAGATGGAGGTGTTTGATTTATATCAGTTTGGGATCGCTATCAGTTGCAGATCCGTTGGCGATATTGGGGAAGAGTTGCAGACTTTTCTATTTGTTTGAGGGCCTTTAGAGATCGTTTGGGTGAACTACGTGAAGGCTTGATTCCTTGGGCAAGAGGATACGTAGGCAGTCTTTATGATGCTGCCGATTTGGTGAGTAGATACCGACGTTTGGGTGAATTTTCGCACTCCCGTTTGGGTCTCCACTTGTTGAGGATTGAGAAGCAGCAAGTGAGGCGTTTGGCTTGGTTGGTGTCGGCTCAGTTTTGGTAGAAACTTCGCCGAGATGGAGAATTAAAGAAACCGCTTGAAATTTAGTGAAGAACGGGTTTTGGAAACACAGGGGAACTGTTTGGAAGCTGCGCGGTCGACCGCGGCGTAAGGCCGGTCGACCGCAAATGTGCATAGACTCTAGGAGGAGTTTGGATTTGGCTCGGTCGACCGCCAGACCCTGTAAGTGATTTTAGGCTCTGTCGTTGGTCTCTGTCGACCGCGTAACGGGTCAGGCCCAGAATTGTTTTCATGTTCTTATTTGGTTTTGGTGTTTGTATAAATACCAATACACTTTCTAGGGTTTCTTAAGGCAAGAGTTTGGGATATTTGGAGCACAGAAAAGAGGTATTTTCTGAGCTATTTGATTAGGGTTTATTTGGAGAGATTAAGAGTTTTGTTGGTGAGATTAGTTTGTTCCTTCGAGTGATTTGTAATCTCAAGTTGTACTATTCTTCTCTATTAGTGAAAACCCATCCCCTTCTTGCCCCGTGGACGTAGGTAATTGCCGAACCACGTTAAAATTGGTTTTTTATTTGTGCATTGATTTTGGTTGGTTTTGGCCCTCGTTGATCGGCAATTGGTTTGGTTCCTCCACACGGTTTTCAACAACAATTTGGGTTTTTTCACCAACACGCAGTTAATTTGTCATGCAGCTAGGAGTTTCCATGCAAAGATGTTTAGCTTCTCGATATCAATTTGTCGTGTTCAGGGCAAAATTGCACGGCTTCATGCTCTAATGTTGATGGGAATTTTTCAGGCATGGGATGACCATCTCCATGTAATGCAAGAAATTCAACCTCTTAGGCTCTCATAGGACTTTTAGAGACACTTAATGGTTTCATTTCAAGGAAAAATGATTTTGTTGCTTGTTAGGGATCGAGTGTTGTCATCAGTCAACCTGATCAATGTAAAATTAGTCATAGAAATGTTGGGGGCGTGAAATCTGAATGAATCAGATGATTTTTTTTATCACCTTTTCTCTTCATAAGATAAACATTGTGCTGGAAATATTCTGAGTAAGTGTAGGGCCTACTGATAGTTATAGGTGATATTGATATGGGTATAGGGAGATATAAAGTATATAATAGTATTATTATGATATATTATACTATTATATTTGATTTTTTTATCACTTTTCTCTCAATAAGATAAACTATTTCTGATAGTTGATATATATATATATATTATTATATAATAGTGAATATAATAGTATATAATATATATATATATATATGATATATTATATATATCATCATATATATATCATATATATATCAGAATATTCAAATAGTTTATCTATGAATGGGAAAAGGTTGATAAAAAAATCAGAATATATATATACTATATATGATATATTATATATTAAGATATATAATATATATTTATATATGATATATGTAGTATATAGTATATATCTATAGGTTAATATCAGAAATAGTTATCTATGAGAGAAAGGTGATTACAAAAATCAGCAATATATATATATTATATATATAATATTAGTATATATATATATATATATATATATATTATCTTGTTAATAGTATATATATAGTATTCTTATATATATATATAGAGAGAGATGGAGAGAGAGAGAGAGAAAGTGGAGAAACTTGGGTTACCAAGTTTCTTGCAATCAACTTGGTAGTGAGTGCTAGATGCAAACTACATTCGACTAGTAGGTTAAGTTTAATTTTCAAAAAAAGAACCCCATTTTATATATATGCTAAGTTGATGATCATATGTTATATATATTATAGTATATTATTATATGATAAGTATATAATATATAGTATATATAAGGTATAGTCATAGTATATATATGAGATATATATTATATATAATAGTATTGGATCAATCTATCATATATATAAACTGGGGTCTTTTTTGAAAAATTAACTTAACTACTAGATGTAGGGCGTAGGATTCTAGGCCACCTCACACTCAAGTTGATTGAAGAAACTGGTACCAAGTTTCTCATTTCTCTCATATAGTGATATAATATATAATATATATATGATTGAAGAAATTGGTACCAAGTTTTTCTCATTTCTCTCATATATAATATATATATATATATATATATAGTATATTATATAGTATTATAATAGTATATTAGATAGTAAATATATAGTATATATAAGAATGAGAGTTTGATAGTAAAATCAATTGCAGAGGATCTCATTGTGCTGGAAATATTCTGAGTAAGTGTAGGGCCTACTGATAGTTATAGGTGATATTGATATGGGTATAGGGAGATATAAAGTATATAATAGTATTATTATGATATATTATAATATATAATATATTATATTTGATTTTTTATCACCTTTTCTTGCAATAAGATAAACTATTTCTGAATATCTGTTTATATGATATATATATATATATTATTATATATATATAGTGAATATATATATATAATATATATATATATATATATATATATATATAGTCATCATATATATATCATATATTACAGAAATAGTTCTATTTACATGAATGGGAAAAAGGTTGATAAAAAAAATCATGAATATATATAATATCTATATATGATATATTTATATATATATATATATATATAATATATATTTATATATGATTATATAGTATATTATATATCAAGGTAATATCAGAAATAGTTATCTTATGAAAGAGAAAAGGTGATTAAAAAATTCAGCAATATATATATATTATATATATATATATATATAGTATATATATCATATATATATATATATATTATCTTATATAGTATATATATAGTATCATATATATATATAGAGAGAAGGAGAGAGAGATGAGAGAAAGTGGATGAAACTTGGCTACCAGTTTCTTCAATCAACTTGGTAGTGAGGTGCCTAGATGCAACTACATCGTAGTAGGTTAAGTTTAATTTTCAAAAAAAGACCCCATTGTTATATATATGCTAGAGTTGATTTGATCATACTAGTATATATATATATAATTAGTATATTATTATATATATACTATATATATAGTTATATAGTATATATATATATATATATAGATATATATTATATATAATAGTATTGGATCAACTTAGGTCATAGTATATAAACTGCGGGTCTTTTTTGAAAAATTAACTTAACTACTAGATGTAGGGTTAGGATTCTAGCCACCTCACTACCAAGTTTGATTGAAGAAACTTGGTACCAGTCTTTCCATTTCTCTCATATATATATATATATATATCATATATGAATTGAAGAAACTTGGTACCAAGTTTCTCTCATTTCTCTCATATATATATATATATATATATTATATATATAAAAATTGTATATATATATAGTATTATAATATATATTAATAGTAATAAGTAATAGAATAAAGTTTGATAGCTAGAATCAATGCAGAGGATCTACATTACAAGATAAAACAAGAATGTACGAAGATTGCGTCAAAGTTTTTCAAGCCTGCTTATATAATATGATAATATGAAGATTTATGTTGACATTAGTAAATTTCATAAATTCAATCTATTGTGGGTTACGACAAATTACGATCGTTTTCCTCGAATGTGTAAATGTAGGTACTTCAGGATCTTCCAAAAGCAGGTTACCTGAGCAAGCATTTAGGACAATATAAGACTCTTTAAACGTCCAATACATGATAATATGTACTTCTCCGCTGATATGTTGGCATTCAGGTATTTTGTAGCTATGTATGTTTGTACAAAAGTATGTCGTTATTATTTTATACATGTGTGATATATGGACTGAATCTTTGTGTTTATGAAAAATATAGTGTTAAGTGAAGTCAATAAGTTCAATGCACGAGTGTGAGTTTCAAGAACAAACTCTTATAATATCGTTTCAGTGTTTGCTGACGCCTTATAATTTGCCCAAAGTTTGAAACATTCTCTTCTCACTATAGGATTATAAGGGGAAATTGTGAATGGTATGAACAGGTAATCATTTTCACACTTTTTCAAGAGACTTATCCACCTTATTATGTGCAAGAAAAGGCAATTGTGGACAACCCCTAAATGCCCCTGCCACCCCCAACCCAACCCCCACCCTCGTAATGTCCATCTGCCCCACTGCCCCCCCCCACCGCCTGACTTGCTGATGTATTGCGACATAAGACTGCCTGTGATCCTACTGTTGCAGATAGACCCCCTTAATGGAACTTTTTTTCCTCTTTCACCCTAAGAGAGAGAATTTTGTTTTTTGACTTATTGACCTCCTCAGAGTTTTTTTTTTTTTTAACTTCACTTCAGAGTGTCTATCCACAATAAGGTGATAGTACAAGGGGTCAACCAGCAATTAAACTTCAAAAAGAGGGAAAAAAAGAAAAATTAGTAACTTCTCTTTCAGATCATATTATATCTATAGAAGAAGGTAAAAAAAAAAAGCTACGAAATCAACCATTTATGTATCATTTAACCAATTAAAGCTAGAATATGAAATCATAAAGTGCATACAGAATCTTACAACAGGAACATAGAAATGAGCATAATGATCATAGGAGGCTTCACCTGAACTTCTTGAAATCTTATTCATTCTTGCAAATAGTCCTATTAAAGGAGCATTTCCAGCAAGAGTAGGCTCATTCTGTGCATAATTCGACCGCTGATCATCAAACTTGTCATTAAAATTAGGACCTCCAACGAGTGCTCCAACAATGACATTCGGATTGCTCTCATTGCGCAAATACCACTTATTATATCCTTCAAAGCAACCAACAGGAACAGATAACACTGACACTGATGGAATCGAAGCTCCTCTATGGTGAACATGAGTAGGAAAATTACTTTGGTACCCTACCAAGTAGCTCATAGAGTTTGGATTTTTACCCAATATGTAGTTAGCCTGAAAATGTTTTCAAAGTAACATATTTGCACTTGATATAGCATAGATAAGCGAATGAATTAGGGGTAGTCGCTGAGAGACCCCCTTAGTTATATCGTTGCAGATAGACCTCCTGAGTTAATATTTTTGGCTCTTTTACCCTCAGGATGTCTATTTGTCAAAAAAACAATATTAATTTTTTCTGAGGATAAAAGAGTCAAAATAATCATTTAAGGGATCTATGTGCAACAATATAACTAAGGGGCGTCTATTCACAATTAACACTGAAACAAACACAAGTTGATGTAGAACTCTACCTGAGATTGCGCAAACTTAAGGAGTTCTACAGGTTGCACTTGACCTATGAAGCAGTTTAAGGTAGAATTGCTGGTATACAGATACTCAGAATAGACAGTTAACAGAAATGCTGAAGATGAGACGCATAGCATGTTGCACCATTCTTTGAAGTATAACAAACCACCTGTTCAACAACTAATTTCTTTCTTAATTCATTTAAGTTTAAGAAAAATATTTTCTTTGTTAAGCAATAATATGAACCTGGCGACATCGCAACATTTTCCTTATCGTTCTTCTGAACACATGCGCATAAAAAAAACTCTGCTTTGGCTCTCAGTATATCTAGGGTTTGATTGTAGGCTTCATTACCATGGTATGTCAACACCTACAAGCATATTTCAATATGTCATTATAGTTTGCATAGTATTTGATGAGAACTTATTAGCATAACTATGAGCTCGTTGTACCTTTACCAAGAGAACTTCAAGACCTGCATATTTGTTTTCCCATGAAAATTGGGTAACATCGAATTCAGTCTCAACAGTAGAGGCAACTTTATCCACTACGTAATTTATGTAGTATTCTTCATTTGTTGCCTTGAAAAGCCAAGCAGCTGCCCATAATAGTTCATCCTGTCATCATAGAGATTATAAAAAGTTAGAAGGACGCATTAAGGAGAAACAAATAACAGAGATTAATAGCAAGAAAAATATGAAAAGATCGATATTTAAAAAAATGGGGATGTGATTCTAAGTTTTTGCATGTAATGCTATAAAATCATCACGAAACCAACTGAAATATTTTTTTCCCCCAATTTTGATTGAAGTAACATTGTTCAAATAACAAAATGTAAAATATTTAGACAATATGAACAAAATCTTCTCACATGAAATCCCATGGAAGGATAGAAATGTCGAGAATCACTAACAAAATCATCATATCTCCCTTGATATGTATCAGCAAAGGAGAAAAGCTGCAAGAATAACAAAAACAACAAGATAAATAAAAACTTTGTTAAGTATATTCACCAAGTTACCTATAGATTAGTATAGATTTTGTCACCTGCTTAGAATGAGAGAGTAAGATCTCAGAGTAAGCAAAATCATACTTCTTGAAAACAATGGAGGCTGCAGCCATTGCAGCAGCAGTCTCTCCAGCGATATCGGAGCCCGGGTGCTCAGAGTCAACTTTGTATGCAGTTCTTGAAGTAGTCATGTCCTCTGCTCTCTCCCAACATCGATGATCACTATATCCATCTCCAACCTTCAAGAGATCACAATTAAAATTGTCTTGAGACTAACAGAATCATAATTTGTGTAGATTTCCATAAACCGCCTTTAAATTTGGCGGTTCTTGAGATAATCCCCTAAAGTGTAAAATGTCACTTGTGTCATTTAAAACCCCCTAGGCATGTGAAGGAAAGGTGAGAGTGAGTTTTGTAATTAAAACGATAAAAAAAATGACGTGAAAAGGTTTTTTTGGGTTTTTTTCATCAGGAACATTTTAGTTAGACAAAACTTTTTTTTTTTGGCGCGGTTGGGTGTAGGGGTGGGGGAGGGGATTGCTAAGCTAAATTTTTAGAATTTAGGAGGGTCATCTCAAGAATGACCAAACTGAAGGGGGTTTTGTGAAATATACTCAATTATAACTTTTCATTCACATTGGTATTTATATCTCTGCATTTTCCTTTTGATTGTGTCAAATTCTTTATTTCATTTGATAGTTTATTAACTATACATACCTGACTCCAGAGGACATTAGCTTGAGTATGTGCTTTGATTAAGTAATCAGTTCCCCATTGAATAGCATCAAGAGCTTTCTCCAGTTGATTGCAAATATAAATCTCTCTCTCAAACTCAATCACACTCCATGAGATCATAGTCATTGCAAATGCCATCGGGAACCCAAACTTGATGTGGTCCCCTGCATCGTAGTATCCTCCAACCAAATCCACCTATTAATTTTTTGAAGGTGAAAGTATTTCAGAAGTACTCACTGGAGTCTTCATAAGTTTACAATGAAGTTCAAATATAGTGAAATCATTGAGACATGATGAGCTAGACAAATTAGTGACAAGTTAAGATATCATACTCATAATTTTCAAAACTTTCAAAAAATAGTAGGATATATTGCAGAGACAACCTTTTTACTATAGGGTTCTAGTCACTTACTACTTCCTTTCCTTTTTTTTTTTTTGGGTTAACACTTAGACCATCTGATGTCCAAATGGAGTTATCCCTTAGTTATATACACCTACTATGATTGTATAATCAAACTTTGTAGGGCGGTTAGTCAAGTAGAATTCAAAATTTAGAACTGGGATAATTTATAGGATAAATTTTTATAGTGTTAGTCAATTGGAACTAGCACTAAGATAAAATTATACAGCGTTAGTTAACTAAAATTGGATAAAAAATAAAACTGGGATAATTATAAAAATTTATCCCATTTTTGTCAAATTTCATACTCCCTTTAAAAGCACGAGTTTGGAAAATCTTTTTTAGATAAATATACCCCTTTATAGTTTGAACTACCTTATCTATAATCAAATTCTAATTTTCAATGGTCAATATTACCCTTCACTATTTTGAATATTTTATTTATATCTAAATCTATCCTAATCATAATCATATCTTATCCTAATCCTATGTGAACCATGTTTAGCTTAACAATTTAAAAAAACTAATATTAATAAAATATATAAAACATAAAAATGATATTAGTTTGTTAAGATAAAGAAATTACAAGTAGATAACATATTATAATACATGAAGTATTGCAAAAAAACCATAAAAAGTTTTAAAATTACAGAAAAGACCCTGAAAAGTTCAAAATTATAAAACTCATCCAAATGTCTCAAAACTTAAAATAAAAAACATAAAATTAAAAAATTAACATCAATTTGCAAAGAATTTAAAATTTACATTTAACACCTCAATGTCTCAAAAATTATAGAAACACCCTCAAAAGTTTAAATTACAGACAAGCACATTAAAATTTTAAAATTTTAAAACTTACAAACAACACAGATGAATTCAAGAGATTACCATGATACACCTAAAATTTTTGATATTTAAATTTAAATTTTTTAATTAACACCCTCAATATCTCAAAAATTATAGAAACACCTTCAAAAGTTCAAATTATAAAAAGCCACCCTAAAATTCTAAAATTTGTAAATAAAATAAGATGAATTCAAGATATTACCCTTAGACACCTAAAAAATTAAAATTTGCCAAAATTAACCTCAAAATTTTTAAAAAACTCCTTCAAAATTTAAAAATCGTAAAAAAAACTCTAAATTTTCAAAATTTTTAACTAGCACACATCAAATTCGTCGATTGGTAGACCGCTAAAATTATATATATATATATATATATATATATTAAAATTTCTAATTTAGGGATTTACTATCCATTTTCAGCATCTAAGAATAGTCTAAGTTGATACTGGTAAACAAAAACAATAAGAATTGATTAAAAACATCCGGTTAATGGATAAAATTTTTAAAAATATTATAGATTAAAAATTATCGGCACTATATAAATTAAAGTAATTTCATATAATTTTAGTAATAAGTTGGGGTAGCCAAAATACATTCGTAACATTAATTGATAGATGTTTAAATCCATAGAAATGATAAAACACTATAATATTATACCTTAGCATTAATTGATTTTAATTTAGAAACTTTAATCTTTGACGTTAATAATATTTATAGGGTAAAAGAATACAAGGAATTACATATGGAGAAACTATTAGAATATTTAGAGATAACTTTAAAAGAATTGAGTTATTTCCATTGCAAATGGGAAAGTGATGGAAATAAATCTAAAATTCAGAAAACGTCAATGAATCACTTGAATTGGCATTAACATAAGACATATCTATTAATGAAGCACTGAATGAGTTACATTAAAAAATAATTTAATAACTTTATCCTAATCAAAGAAAAAATCTCCATGGAAGACATAAGAAAAATTAGTAAGTATTCATAAATTCCATACTGTGTTCTTCAAATTAAATATTAATATTATAATCTAAGAGAAATTGGTAATGAATAATGCAGGTATTTAGTTTAGATCTTTATGGAAAATGACAGGGATAGAGCAAAGGTAATATTATTGAAATAACAGAAATTCTTATTGGATGCACATCAGAAGAATTCATTTTAGAGGAAAATAAAGAGATAGCTTCTAATTTATTTAAGTAATAAATTAGGAACACAAAGAATTTTATATATATGAAATTAATATTTATTCTCATTGAAATAGAAAAAAATCAAAGTCTATATTTTGAGCAGTTTGTGTTGAACATCATAAGTACATTTGACTTCTTTGTAAAGTTAAATGAGATGATAAAAAATTAATGAGCCTAGGAAAGATAATAGCATAAAAAATACAAAATTAGCCTGATGTCACAATTGATGTAGATGATGAAGACAATACTCTAGAATTGTCCGAGAAATGATAAATGATAAACCTGAAGAAGGATTGATCTTAACTCAATAAAAAATAAAATAGAACAAATAAAAACAATATTTTATGAATATTTTATAGAATAGTTTAATTATTTTGAGTGAAATTAGGAATCTTTAGAAGGGAGTTTCATGAATTTTTTTTAGTACTTTTATATTCTTATGTGGATGTTTTTATCATATAAAAGTATACTAGAGTTAGCATTAATCTTTAATTTATAATTTTTTATGAAGTCTATCAATGATTAGGAATAAACTTCATATTCTCTTTTGCATCGTTTTAACATACTTTAAATCAACCATTTAGCTATATTGGTTTTAAATATTCACCTTCCTTGTATAACACTATTTTAATATTTTTTACTTTGCAATGCTATACTTTCTCAAATAAAGCTTAGTTTTATATCGGTCAAAAATAATATGAAAATTCAAATTATTTTTAAATTATATTTGTTTTTTGTCAATTCAAATATCAACATGAAAATTTAAATTGGGTGTATCTCATTTAAACAAACATAAAAAAATAATCGGGATGTAAGAGTTTAAAGAAAAAAATTAGCACAAACTGCCAAAAATACTTAATCATGGTATTAAATCACGTGCATTGCGCGTGTGTAAAAACTAGTATATAGAAAAGAGAGAGTTCTAGTCTCTCAAATTGTTCTAAGTTTCAAACTAGAATTAGTTGGTAAAAAACTAGAACTTTCTTATTTACTTTTTTATTTTTTATATTTCATTTTCCATCATCTTCAAACCACACCATATGATTAGATCACATCTCTTCTTACCCTTCTATTTAATGTTTTTTATTTTCTATTAAATATTAGAAGTAAATTAATTAATTTAAATTTAAAAATTATAGAATTCATGTTTTATTAAAAATTAATTAAAAATGAGAGATGAAGGAATGATTTCTAGCGGATTGAAAAAGAAAGGGAAAAAAAAGGAAAATATTTGTTTTTTAATTTGTATTACAATAATAAGTCCAAATTATCACAAAAGCTACAAATTAATATTATAATAATATCTTATAGTTTTTCAATATTTCTTTGACATTAATTAAAGTAAATAATTATTTTTAATAATAGTAAGTTTTAAAATATATAAATGGTAATCTTATCATCAAATGCATGAATTATATACTTATTGATTACTGAAAATTATCCTTGATTACTCTAACAATTGTCCCACTAAAATATCCCATTTTAAAAAATTACTCCTAATTATCCCACTAAAATATTCTACTTCAAAAAAATTACCTCATATTAAAAATTATTCCACTTCTATTAAAAATATTCCAGTTGACTAACATCCCCCTAGGGGGGTCAGTTAAGTGGAATTATAAAATAAAATTGGGTTAATTTATAGGATAAATTTACATGGTGTTAGTTAATTAGAACTTTTATGGGGATAAAGTTTTAAAATGTTATTCAATTAGAACTGGTACAAAAAATAGAACTGAGATAATTGTAAAAAAAATTATCTCACTTTTCATTCATCTTACATAGAAAAAAAGTTAGTTCTAGTTTCTGCATTTATCCCACTTTTCAAAGTAGAACTCAACTAGAATAATTGTTTTCTCTTGTATATTACAAAGCTATGCATATTTACAATTGTTAAATGCATGCTTGTTTTTTACTGCTATTCTTCTATTTGAATCTGGACAACACACGATACATATGACTTAACTATTGAAATAGTTATATAATATATGTGGTTTTAATGTGATTGTATAGTATTGTGCTTTCTTAATTTTTTTTTCCACTTAATAATGCACTTCTTACATCCTCATACTACATCCTTAAGACTTGAAGTGTCATTTATTTTTCATTTTTGTTAATAAGAAATAGATAAATTAAGGTATCGTATCATAAAAATATATATTCTATAACTTTTTTTATTCTACCAATTTATCTCATGTTATTTTATCTAGTTTATCCTGCCTCAAAAATTTATCATTCATTATCCTACTAAAATATTCTACTTCAATAATTATCCTAATTAGACATGAAAAGTTCTAATTGACCATCACTCCTAAAAGAATTTCTCTCAGAACACTAAAATATCAAGGGATTACTCTGCAACTCATTGATATGTGATACCCACATGGCATATAACATCCACATGACATATAACATGGAGATATAACAACTGTAGAAAGAATGTATCTCTACAAAATCCTCAAGAAGTTTGGCACATCTTGAGAAGACCCCAAAATTTTGATATCAATTTACCCTCAAAAACTTTTGCATATTTTAGAATCTATTTTCGGATAAACCCCTATAATATTTCTGGGGCTATCTCAAACAATTTTTCTATTGACATTTCCAAATTACTTGGGGGTTTTCTGAAATTGTGAAATTTACTTTAACCAGAGTTGTTGCGCCAATAAACAGTGTGGTTAGAAGGCAGATATCCTGACCTCTGAGCCTCAAAGAAGAGCAAACTTTTGCCAAGAGCATCACAATAGTTGAATTCCTGTGCACTGGCAATGACTGGCTTCAACATTTGAGAGTAGACAAGAACCATACATAGAAAAACACTCAAGAGGATTAAGTTTGTTTCCATGGATTTATAATTTGCTAGGTACAAGTTTTCCTATAGCTTTACATATATAATATTATAATTTGGGCATGTGACACATGTAGAAAGAGAGAATCTAACACCGTTCTATGTATTATATTACATTATATTATTTGTGTGGTTATACATGTGACCAAATAATGTATGCACAAAATAATAATGTTAAGAGATGGAGATGTATATGTATTGTCAGTGAGCATGCATGCGTGTATTGGATGGAATCCTATACAGAGATGATTGCTTCTGGACAAAGAAGAAACAGCTATATTTAGCAAGAGATATTTTGTAATTCCCAACGCAACTTTATTAAGAGTCTACAAGACCTACAAAATCTAGTTTAAAAATCTTATGTACTGATGTTATTTTTATACCCAAACTCAGAGAGATGACATTTCTCTCAGACATAGACTGAAATAGCAAGTATAATGATGTTATAGTTATTTGTAAAGTGCAATATAACAAAACCATTTTCAAATTTATTTCATTAAGGTGTATTGTCGCTTAATTAGTGCAATTCATGTACTTGGTGGGAATAAAACAAAGCTTCACACTCGGCTCATTATTTTCCCAAGTAGTGTTGAGATGACTAATATGTGAATATAGTCTCACATTGGATAGGATAAGAAAGAGTGATGAGTTTAAATAGGAGTTTGGGTCAATACCTGATAGCTATAGCTTTTGGGTGAAAATTGATTTCTAACTTCTGTTTAAGGCACATCAACTCTAGATTTGGTCCACTTTCTCCCCCAACAATAGTATCAGAACTAAGGTCATGGTCCAAGTAATTTAAAAAAACAGATAATCTTCAATGTGAAGCCCGAAGGTGTCAGGAGAATCTACGGATGCCCGCATGAGTGATATAGTCTAGTTAGCCACCATGAGTGAAATGGTGAAAGTTCCTACTAATGTTTGATATTTATGTGTTGAATGCATGGTCTGGTTAGCCCATGATTAAAGTGATCAAAAGTTTATGAATTGGTTAGCCCACGGGTAAAATGGTGCAAAATTTAGTGAATTCCGTGGAAGATTAAATTATAGTTGAATTGAACTATACTCACAAATTATGGGAGAGTTGTTAAGATGATTAATATGTGAGTATAGTCCTGCATCAGATAAGACAAGAAAGAGTGATAAGTTTAAATAGGAGTTTGGGTCAATACCTGATAGCTATAGTTTTTAGGTTAAAATTGATTCATAACTTCTGTTATGACCCATCAACTCTAGATTTGATCTGATTTCTCCCCTAACAAGTAGCATTATTATTAGTTCATCCAGTATTCTAATATAAGAAAACAATTGACAAAGAAAATTTTGGGACCATAGGATGAATAATGAATAATAATTCTCTTCTCAAGGTACCCATATACCCTATTATTAAACGACAAAAATATATTTAACTTTTACCAAAATTATGATTGTCCATATATCAATAAAAAACCCATTGTCAAAATATGGCATCCCCCCCCCCCACACACACACACCCAAAAAAAAAACCTCCTCTTACCCCTTCACTTCCACCAATTCAAGAGATAAAAAGGATATTTATTTGCAATTATCATTCTCTCTCCTCTCGTTATCATTTTCTAAGCGGGGTTAACCAAGTAGAACTCAAAATTAGAACTGGAATAATTTGTGGGACAATATTTTATATTATTAGTCCATTGGAACTAGAACCAGGATAAAATTATACAGTGTTAGTCAACAAGAACTGGATAAAAAGTAGAATTGAGATAATTGTAAAATTTCTATCCCACTTTTGTCAAATTTATATAGAAAAGAGAGAGTTCTAGTCTCTCAAATTGCCCCAAGTTTTAAGCTAGAACTACATGGTAAAAAAACTAAAACTTTATTATTTACTTTTTATTTTTATATTTTATTTCTCCGTCATCTTCAAACCACACCATAAAATTAGATCACATCTCTTCTTATCATTCCCTTCTATTTAATGTTATTTTTTACTTTTTATTAAAATTTTGAATCGTATAATTAATTTAAATTTAAAAATTACAAAATTCATGTTTTATTAAAAATCAATTAACATTGAGAGATGATGGAATGATATCTGGTACATCAAAAAAGAAAGAGAAAAAAAGGAAAAACTATTTTTTAATTTATATTATAATAATAATTCCAAAAAAAATCAAAAAGTTAATCTTATAGTCGATCTAATAGTTCTTCAAGATTAATTAACACTAAATAATAATAATAATAAGTTTTAAAATGTATAAATAGTAGTATGATCATCAAAATACATGACTTATATTAATAATAATAATAATAAGTTTTAAAATGTATAAATAGTAGTATGATCATCAAAATACATGACTTATATGCTTATTGATTTCTGAAAATTATAGTATGATCATCAAAATACATGACTTATATGCTTATTGATTTCTGAAAATTATCCTTAATTATACTAACATTTGTCCCACTAAAATATCATGTTTTAAAATATCACTTCCAATTAGGGGTGGGCAAAAACCGAAACAAACCGGTTCAACCGAAAAAACCGCCCGAAAAAACGGATCGGTTAACCGAACCGAATTAAATGGATGAGAAGAAGTCTCTAAACCGCCCAAACCGAATTAAACCGGTCTGGATCCGGTTTGAACCCCTGAACCGCCCAAAAAAAACCGAACCGAATTCTTAAACAAAAAGTAGCTGCGAGCCTTGGGTGTGAAGAAAATTTATGGCTGAATGTTTAGCATTTAAGAATTATGGGGTGGAGTTTATACTAACATATATTTGAGTACGCTGATATAGTTAAGTGAGATTTCCGTAAATCAATACAAGATATTGAGGTTGAAGGATAAATTTAGTGTTTTGGTCAAATTTCAGTAATAACATGAATACAGCTTGCTGGTGCTGGATATCAAATTAACCTATAGTATAGGCTGTCAAGGATATAAGATAATTCTTGATGAGAAAAAGGCAGCTAAAAATTAACGAAAATCATCAAAAGGTGTGTGTGCCTGCCAAACATTGTTCTTTCTCTAAAAAAGGCTACATAATTACATGGTCCTCCTAGTGTATTAAGCTAGTTATATTCAGATCATACAATTTGATTAAGTGGCTTAGTACAGTTTTGATTGTTTCTTTTCAGTTTTGATTGCTTCTTTTCAGTTTTGGATATAACTAAAACTTACCCAGATTTTTGTGAAATGGAGTTAATTCGGTTCAAAACCGAAACCGAACCGAACCGAATTTCGGTTGGGCCGAATATTCGGATGAAGGGAAAAAAATCTGGATCTGGATGAGTGTTTTGAGAATCCGAAAAATTCGGATTGGATGCGGATTGGGCTTAAAACCGAACCGAACCGAATACGCCCAGCCCTACTTCCAATTATCCCATTAAAATATCTCACATTAAAAAATTATCACATAATAAAAATTATTCCACTTCTATCAAAAATGTTTCAGCTGACTAACACCCCCTAAGGGAGTTATTGGTTAGGACAAGTTGGGGCTAAAGTGGGATAATTATTCCAATTGAACAATTTTACCTCTTTGGAGATATTTTGAGTGGTATAAAGTGGGATAATTTAGGATAATAAGAAATTTGAAGCTTTGATTTGACTGTTTATGTGGGATAATTAATGATGTGACATCTTATTAAAGTACAATATTTATTTATCAATTAATTCTAAACTAATTTACCTAATTGGTTTAGCATATTATTTGGTATGTTATTATAATAATATGATATATTATATAATAATTAATATAATATACAAACAATATATTTAATATAAAATATTTTAATAATATAATATATAATCAAATATTATAATATTTTGTTTAATTCAATATAATATTATTAAAATATTAAATTATTATTAAAAATATTAAATTATTATTAAAAATATAATATTTTATTTTATTTTATGATAATTACTATAATTTAAATAGAATAATTGATGACATGACTCCTCATTAAAATATAATATTTATAATAACCATAATATACTATTAATATGTTCAATATTAATAATTAAAAAATATTAAATAATATATTATGTTATATTATATTAATTTTATATATATTATCATACTTTAATATGTAGTAGATTATTAGATTTTTTATTATAGTAATAAAATATTATTTAATATTATAACTACCACAATATTGACAATATATTTAAGACTATTAATTAATATAATAAAGTATAATAGAAAATAGTAAATTATTATATAATAAATTATATTATAATATAACTAATATATTAAATATATAAACACTATATTATAATATAATATTTTATATCATAAAAATACTATAATAATATTTTTATTCTAACTAATAAAATATATACTAAATAATATAAAGTAATATTATAATAATATAATACTAATATTATAATATATAAAATATTATTAACCAATATGTAATAATGATATATAATAATGTTATATTAGATAATATTATATAATATTTTATTATATTACGTAATAATAGAATTTTATAATATAATATAATTAAGATATATTATATATTATAATATAATGGGTTTTTCTATAGAGTGCTCATGGGCACTCTATAAGAGAGGAGAGAAATGAAGAGAAATGAATAGCTCATGAGCCCCTCCTAATTTGTATTAATTTCTGTGCATAATTCACTTTTCTATATCTCTCTCCTCTCTTATAGAGTGCACATGTGCACTCTATAGAAAAACCGTAATATAATTAATATATATTAGAAATTTTATAAATTAGTACTTCAAAATTATCCTACTTTCCTCGTGATTGTCCCAAAGTTAAGAATGAGGTAAATTTTGGAGGGTGGGACAAAATGTTTGTATAGAAGTGGAATAATTTTGGGAAAAGTGAATGTAGTTGTCCCAATCTCATCGTCCCAATGAATAACACACTAAAGTGAAATCTCAATCTCATTTTTCTAATGAATAACACTATAAAGTAAAGTCTCAAAAATTATCTCACTTACCCTAAAAGTACACCAACCAATAACCTCTCCTAATTTGGAAGAAGAGAGAGAATTAGCGGGTGCACTAGGCCCCACTCTCTCACCTTTCTTCATCTTTGTCTCTCCAAATTAACAAGTGCTCCGGGGCACGCGTTGACAAATTCCTTCTAAAAATTACTAAACCCTCCTCAACTCATTTATTAGCACTAAAGCCCCCCTCAATTTATAAATTGAGGAAGAGGGAGCTAAGTGCTAGTAAATGGCCTGAAGGGGGTTCGTCCATTTCAAGGATGAGGAGAGTTATGTGCAATTTACCCCCAAAGAACAACCCAAAACCTAATATCTACAAAAATATATATTGACATCAACATCTTCTTAAGAATCAGCACGAGAAAAGGATGAAATAAAGAAAAAATTTGTCGTTCAAAATATTTCAGTTTCAGATTAGTTATGAAGAAAAACCATAGGTGCTCGTATATCGGCAACCAATGTGACCCAATTAACACCATTTTGTATCATTTTCAAAGCTAAAGCATCCAATAATAGAAGGGGGAAAATTCACTGCTCTCTCTAAACACCGAAAGTAAACTATACAACAAGCCAGCCAAGAGCTTCTCACTTTTCATTACGATCTACAGAGATATCTCAAAACACCTCACTTTTTGAGTTAATCCTACTCATTTGCACTTGTTCGATATAATAACAAATCTGCTACCTCCTCCGAGAGAGGAAAAACTCGTAATCTGGGTGTTTGTTCACAGATTTCTGATTTCCTTTACGAACTGCGGCCCTTGCCATCACCGAAGCTGCATTTTCAAGCGTATGCAACCTTTTGTTCAAGATTCCTGATGGATTTGTTGACATGGTTTTTTCCGTCATGAAGCTTCTTTGAGCAAACCAGCACTCTCCCTGCATAAAAATGGAAATCCTGGAATTACTCTGGGGGTAATTCAGAGTATTCAATAGAGGTATACGCCTAAATCACGTGATGTTTGGTTCATGAGAGAGAATAAAAGTACACTTGCAATCGAATGAAATTATCGCTGTTTGAGCAATTTTTTAGACTTTTTTAAACAAATCCAAACTAAGCATCAACTTGGAACTATATCATCATCCCACTTGGAGTAACTAACATTCAAATTATTTAATTTTGCTTACTCTGGGGGTAATTCACGGTCACCTAAACTTCTATAGTTCATAGTGCCTGAAACTTTGTGCCAATGACAACATAAATAAAATGCTCAATGCACACGCACGCGCGCACACACACACAAGTGATGTCAGATGCACATAAAATGTGTATCATAACATGATTTATGTATTGTGTAAAAAAGGAATAAGAAATGGGCTATAACAAACTATGGTGTGTAATTACTCCAATAAAAGCAAAAAAAAAATAATAAATAAATAAATAAAATCTAGTACCAAAATTATAGAGACATGTAAGAAACTTTCAGTTAAGTATACTCAAACATATATACCAACTTTTCGGGATGAGTGTCTTCTCAAGGTAGTTCTTGCTCGGAATATTATATGCAGGGTCTATCTTGTACACAGATCTCATAGAACATTTAAAGTACATATGAGAATCAGAATTGTAAAGTGCCAGATTTTTCACTTTTCTATTTGATTAGGTCTCTAAAAGAAAGCAGAAAAACTAGGAAAGAAACAAAAAGTAATTATGGGAAACCACAAATACAAAAGGAAAAAGGGACATCAAACAAGGTTGCTAAGATTAAAAAAACACGAACTTCATGATAAAATCATATTAAGCCAGTTATCCTCACCGTACACCACACAGGGTTGTGTTTATGACCCAAGTCACAATTAAAACCTCAACCACATTTCTAGAATCCAGTCATGATCAAATAATATAGATGTTTTGAGTAAATTGTTCAGGGAACTGTTAATTAACATCACTTACAAATAACAAGAAAAGCTTTATTCTCGATTTGCATACCTTATCATTGTAAGTCTGCATCCCCACAATTGGAGAAACTATTTGATTAACATCACCAATCACATTGGATGACGTGCCTCTGTGAAGAAAACGACCAAGAGAGTGGTAGGTTAAAAATGCAGCTCGAAAGTTCCCATCAGGTATCCGATAAATGGGGTACCAGGCCACTGAAAACCTACAACTCAAAGGAAGAGTTCAAACAAGGCCATGAGGTGAGGAATAAGCTCTTACATAAACAAGCTATTGACAAAGAAACAAGGGACAATTGAATTTTAGTACAAACCAAGATGCTGGGTGGAGTTCATGAAAATTTAGGCATTCAAGATTTGAGGAATCACCAAAAATCTGGCAATTACTTGATACCTCGCCCCTAGCCAGCTCCTTAATCCTATTAGCATAAAATTAAGGTCAAATTAAGTAAATTTTCATATAAAATGGCAAGCTTATACTGCTATAGAGAGCGAAAAAGTCAGGAAGTAGCTTAGTAAGTACATGCCCATTATACACTGCATGTAAACTTTAACATGCTAGTATTGAACACATTCCTTTTGCTAAACTGTTGAAGGAACAAGTTGCCAAGACAATCTCTTGTTTGTACAAGATAGTTTTAGTAAAATTAAATACTTTCCTTAAGTTTGTTTTAGGTTTCTGTAAAATTAATTTATCTAAATTATTAAATTAAAAACACAATTTTTACTTCTCTTACAATATGGACTTTTCTCTTTCTTTCCATAATTTAATTTCTCTTCATCTTTGATTCAATCCTTTCTTTGTTCTGTTCTAGGGTGTTAAAACTTCAAATTTACTTACTATTGGTATATCAAGGGTTAGATTTTTCCAGAGGAACAATCTAATGAGATTTTCTAGTCAGCTGATTCGGTTTTCTAGTTAGCTTGTTCAATTGATTGCGCAGCTTCTGACAAAGCAAGAAAGTGTTTAATGCTAGTTTAGTTATAAAACTAACGGCAGTGGAGATATTCATAGCTAAATTTTACCATATCAACAAAAATGGAGGAAAAGTATATCCAAAGTATCAGAAACATACTATATGCATGCACAGTTAGCAAACAAACAGTAATGCACATCTGCAAGAGATTATAACACTATAACTATGTTAATGTACAGATACATTAGACAAAAAAGTAAAGCGGGTAACAGATCCAGTCAAAATAATGCATTGTAGTGCCATCTAAGTGTAAAAATTACAACCATACCTTTCTGAGAGATGCTTGTGGAAAAACTGTGTATGAAATACCATAAAATTTAGCAACCACAAGGACTTACTTCTCAAACAGCGGTCTTCTCTGATGAGGTTGGTCAACTTCAAAATACTCAAAGAGCAACTCTTCGTCAGTAAAATCACTGCTATTAATTATCTGGCAGCAGACTTCATCTTTGTCAGAGGGAACTATTTTTTTGGGAGGACGGGGTAGGAGCTTTGAGAATATTGGGAGAGACTCCAAAGAGACTGAAGATTTTGGTGTATCCTCATTATTGAATTCCTTGGCAACTCTATTACAAACACCACTATCCAAACACACAAAACTCCTAGACCGGGCAAATAATTGTATAGCAGAAAGATAAGGAACAAAATACGCACGGAATTGAGAGCAACGTTTGGGAGACCTCTTTGAGTTATGATGATCCTCTACCTTCACTTCCAGCCCGTAACTTCCAGGTTTCTCATACCACTTCCAAAGATTTCCCAAAAAACCCTTAGGAACTTGATGTGTACAAAAAGCATCACCAATGGTTTGATTGATACTAGGGGATGCTAAATCTACAAATCTTTCAAATTCTGCAAGCGGACTACCAGTCACCATGCGAATAGATTCTGATGCAGTTAACAGCTTGTAGGATTCATCTATTGCTTGAATGATTTTGCATAAATCAGTGTCAAAACTGGTAAAAGGTTCATCGTCATTTGAAGGGACTAAGTGATGAAAATTTGAAATAGGCAACTCCAACTTGACCTTAGACCACTTTAGCCTATCTGAAATGGGATCATTCATATTAGGAACTTTGGAACTGTTTTTATCAAACACTAACAGATCTTTCCTTCTATCATCGCAAAGCATACTCTCACTTCCAAGTTCCATGATTTGAATGTCTTCAGTGTCCATAATGCCACCATTGGAATGTAGTTTGATAGATGTATTCTCCAAAAAATCTGATTCCGCAAGTAATGGGCTTATCTCATTTTGTTCTTCAAAGGTATTGATTTGTTTATTCTGGATTGATTCTGATTGGCCCAATTCAAATATATCAGAGTCAGGGCTCCTACATTCAGCGGTACGATGAGAGGATGATTGACTTTCATTTTTCTTGAGCTTCTGTATCGAGATTTCTACTGCTTTTTCCTGCACCTGAATTTTTTCATTCTCGAGATATTCGTGATTTGAGGCTGAACTGGGTTCCTCTTTCAGGGTTAGAGGAGAATTATGCAACAATCTTTTATTGATAACTTTGGATAGGCCATTTGGATCAATGTCACTAGATACTGATCGTAATGTATCCATGTAAGCAGTCTCAATCACCCTTTCAGTTGAACATGGGCAGCTGCATAATGCTCCGCTTTCAATTTGATTCCGCTCATCACCTTTATCCGATTTCTCCCATACTTCCGAGCCTTTAGAAGATACATTGACGTGCTGAACAAAATTATCATTCCTTAATCCTCGAATACACCTATTTGTTTGATTCCTTTGAGTCTTCTGGCCATACAAGTTTGCAGTACCAGATATATGCAAACTATTTGAACTAGGGTATGCTTTCCTTAGCCTGCCTCTCTTTTTGTATACCACAGGATGAAAGCCATCACTTGTAGAGGCTTCACTGCTGCATTGAACTCTTTCATTAGTTCTATCTGTATCCACTGTGCATTTTGAGCATTCAGGGGTATCAAAGGAACGGTAACTGGATATTTCACTACTTTTGTCACATGAATCTGGAGTAATACTGTGAGATGGAACACTGTTTTCCATCAAATTGAAGGTCAGTGGCCCTTCTGAAGAATTACATGCATATTTATTGTGGAATGTTGATTTCATTGAAGCACCACTGCAATTCTCTACATCGCTAAAAATTCCAACGGTCTCAGTTTTCAACTCATCCATAAATGAGTTTGGCTCTAAAGAGTTGGAAATTTGAGAAGTTTCATAGATGGCATCTTGCTTTGGGTGGACATTTGGGGAGATCTCAGAAGATGTGGATAGAATTACTGAAGATATAGTTGAGCATGATGACATAGAATCACTCAAAATTTCAAACCTCCCTGAATGAGCACAGCTGAGATTTTCACCAGATGATTCCCAATGCAAAGAAGAAACTTGTTCGGAGTTATGCATCTCATCGTTGTAAAGTTTCAAAGTGAGTGCTCTTGCTGGATTGTTTCGGCAATCATTGCTATTTTCTGTAATATTATTTTCCTCTGTATCTCGTACCAGCAAGCTAGGAGAGGTTACCTTTTCCAATAATTCTTGTGAAATGCCTTCTTCATATTGAGCTATAACACACGCGCTTTTCTGTGCAGATCCTTTGTACTGTTTCCTTTTCTTTTTCCCCTTTTTTCTTGAACTCTTTTTCACAGGCTTCTCCTTCTTAAGAGTGCTATTAACTGACTCACACGAAGCAACTACATTATCAAAATCAAATTCAGAGTTGGTAATCTTCAATATATTGCCACTTTCGTCAGATCTAGTCCAATTTCTTCTGTTAGATTTTCCTAAAACACTTGTTTCAGAGGAGCTGGAGGCTGTGGATAACTCAGCAGAACCTGGACGTTCAGGAGAACTATTCCTCTGCTCTAAAGACTCAACACGATTCAAACTTATATCAACTTCGCAGCCCAATTGGTTTCTCCCTTCAGACACCTGATGAAATACACACATGGGAACTAAAATTTTCCATGAATCATGGTCAACTGCAACGAAGAGAACAGTGCACCTGAAATGAAGTCCACGAAAAGCAATGATGTATATATCCTGAGATGATGAACTTCGAGTGAGATTGAAAAAAACCCAGGTAAATCACAAAGATGTTCAGAAATCTAGAAAATCTGAACAAACATGTATCAACCAAACAGTCCAAATCACGCATGATAAATAACACAGCAATATTATCTTTCAATTAGTAATGATGCAAGCCACATGATGCTAACAACAGAGGAATGCATAAGAAAAGAAGAAGCTGGTCTGACAATGAAAAGGAAGGACAGGTAAAACAAAATTCAAAAAGAAACAAGTCCCAAAAATGAAGAATCTTGGTCAGATATTGAAAAGGTGAAAAAACTCTGTTAGCTAAAACGTAGAGGCTGCATGTGATATGAAGAAGTTGAAAGAATAATTGTAATTCACATTTTCGATATTCATCATAACACATACCCCAGCTAGTATCACTTTTAGTGTCTCCCTCGCAATCAAGATGCTTTCTAGAAGTATTAACAAAGAGGCGTCATTCTTCACCATAAATTTGTAGAATAAACATGTTTTCTTATTTTTAACAATAACGATCCAGATATGGATACACGAAACACTCTAAAGGGTCAATAGAAAATTTCTCCGGAGTTAAAGGGTTTGCCAGTTGACAAACAGTCAAGTAATATCTTAATACACACCATCCATAGTTTCTAGAAACCAACTCTTCTCGGTAATGAGGAATATAATGAAACCAAATGAAACCAGGATAGATATAATGGGCATGGAGAAATCCAGTGAATCCCTGGAGGAACTTTGTTAACACTAAAGAATATGAAAACCCTAATTCATTATGAGATCTCTTGGGCTTTATATAGACCCCTACACAACTTGCAAATAAGCCCCTAACTAATACTAATATGTCAACACTCCTCCTCAAGATGGGCGAAAGATATCTACTAAGCCCATCTTGTCACATCCTCTAATCATATCTACTGAGCTAAGTCCTTTAGTCAGACAATCTGCTGTCTGGTCCTTAGTCGAAACATGACTTAGCTCCAGTAGTCCACTATCCAACTTCTCTTTGATGAAGAACCTATTGATCTCGATGTGTTTGGTTCTATCATGCTGCACTGGGTTGTTGGCGATACTGATGGCTGACTTGTTGTCACACCACAACTTCATCTTAGCTCCTTGATCCAGCTTCAGCTTCAGCTCCACCAGCATACTCTTCAATCATAGCAACTCAGCAACTCCTAAGGCCATAGCCAATGTTGAAAATAGCGATAACGCATAGCGTAACGCTTACCTCTGGTTAGGTTACAATAGCGATAACGCATAGCGTAACGTAGGTTAAATAATTTATAGATATATAACATTCAAAATAAAAAAAATATGAATAATCATCGCAATTCTCAATTTCACAAAACAATGTCCTCAAAATAAAAAAATCATTACATTCTCACTCTCATTTTACTTACTTTATTCTATTTTTGTTTGATTGGAGAACAATATTTTCCTCCTAATCCACGAGTCAAAAAATAAACCAGTACAAAGATAATTTTTAAATTTTTTATTGTTAAAATAGCTACAGTAAAAAAGAGAAAAAAAAAGGACCGATCCTCCCTTCCCACTTAATTTATCTACAGGAAAAAGAAGGCCGGATAAAAGAAACAAGGATCCAAGTGGATCGACAGAAAAAACAAAGGAAAAAAAAAAGCTGGCCACGAACCTTCTCGTTGAGGAGGAAAAAAAGAAAAAAGTTGGAAAACGAAAGAAAAAACATCGCACCTGATGCCCTTAAAAACCTTGTGCTGTCGAGTGTCGATCTTCATCGTCTTGGTGGTCGATCGCCGTCGCCTTAGTGGCCGATCGCCGTCGTCAGGTAAGTAGATCGAAGATCCCTTGAAGCTTCTTGATCTCTCAGTTTTTGTTTTTCCACTTTTTGATTTTGATCGACAGATCCCTTGAAGCTTCTTGATCTCTCTGTTTTTGTTTTTCCACTTTTTGATTTCGATCAACAGAACCCCGCACCTGATGCCCTAGCTTCTTGATTTAGTTCTCTGTTTTTGTTTTCCCCCTCTTTTGATTTAGATCGACAGAACCCTGCACCAGCCGCACCTGATGCCCTGAAAAACATCGATTCCCAGTCATTAAGCAAATAACGCAGGTTATCAAACGCTACGATGAAACGCCATGTAACGTGCGCTAGGATGAAAATAGCGTACGTTATTTGGTATTTACGCTATTTTAAAACGCTATGTAGCGTTAAGCCACCGCTACGTCACGTTAAACGCCATTTTACGCCACGGAACGCGTTTTTTTCAACATTGGCCATAGCTCTATACTCTGCCTCAGCTGTCGATCTCGCCACCACCGACTGCTTCTTGCTTTTCCACGAGACTAAGTTGCCTCCTATAAAGATGCAGTATCCTGAGGTGGACCTCCTGTCATCAGCACAGCTAGCCCAATCAGAGTCACAATAGCCCTCAATGCTCATGTGTTCATTCTTCCTGAAGATTAGCCCTTTTCCGGGGGCATTCTTCAAATACCTTAGAATCTGGTACACTGCGTCCATATGACCCTTCCTTGGATCATGCATGTAGCGACTCACCACGCTCACTGCAAAAGAGATATCGGAACGTGTGTGACACAGATAGATCAACCTGCCCACCAGCCTTTGGTATCTGTCACGATCAACTGGTTCTCTAGCTTCAGCACCCAGCTTAAACTTCTGGTCGATCGGTGTAGTTGCAGGTTTGCATCCTAACATTTCTGTTTCTTTGAGAAGATCCAGTGCATACTTTCTCTGGGATAGGACGATCCCCTCCGCTCCTCGAGCTATACTTTCTCTGGGATAGGACGATCCCCTCCGCTCCTCGAGCTATCTCTATTCCAAGAAAGTATCGAAGCCAAGATCTTTCACCTTGAATTCCTTACCCAGTCTCACTTTGAGTTGGGCAATCTCCTTCTCATCATCCCCTGTAATAATCATATCATCCACATATACTGCAAACAAGGTGATGTGACCTCCACTTCTTCGAAAGAACACGGTATGATCGGCGCTGATCTGCTGGTACCTCATATCAATTATAGCCCTCCTGAATCTATCAAACCAAGCACGAGGAGACTGCTTTAGCCCATAGAGAGACTTCTTCAATCTGCAGACCTTTCCCACTGTCTGATCTGTACCGAATCCTGGTGGTATCTCCATGTATACCTCCTCCACTAGATCTCCATGAAGAAATACATTCTTCACATCTAGTTGGTGTAGCTTCCATCCACTATTTACTGTTAGAGAGATTAAGGTCCGAACAGTGCTCATCTTTGCCACCGGTGCAAAGGTCTCGTCATAATCGATGTCATATGTCTGACTATACCCTTTTGCCACCAGACGAGCCTTGTAGCGCTCAACTTGTCTATCTAGATTCTGCTTCACAGTGAAGACCCACTTGCATCCAACTGCTCTCTTCCCTTCTGGTAGTTTTACTAGCTCTCAAGTGCGGTTCTTCTCTAGAGCTCCTAGCTCCTCGTGCATAGCCTCTTTCCACTTTTGGTCCTTCTTAGCAACCTGCCAATTGTTAGGTACAGTAACAGTCCAATAATACAATGAATGCCCCATGTGCAGGGTGGATGTTAGAATATGATACAAATTGAGCAAGATCCCAACCATATCTATCGGGAGGATTTCCCGCATTACTACGAGTAGTCCTCCGTACTGATATTGGTGTGGGAGGAATAGGGAGAGGAATGTTATCAGTAGGAATGTTATCACCTTGGGATGAAACTGGTGGTGGTGTAGGTATTTCAGGAGTCGGGGTAGGCGTTGGCAAGAGACTTGACAGCACTAGTGGCACTGTAGGTACTGTTCCTGTAATTTGCTTGCCCTTCCTACTATAAGTTAGTAGCTCCCCCTAAACAGTGGGCCTAACACCTCTTGTCTCATTTTCCTTTTCTTCGTCATTCTCCTGCTCCTCCTCAACCAATTCTCCCTCCCAAGGAATCGATACAGAAATGGATTTCTCCACATTGTTCACCGTTCTCTCACCATTCTCCTCGCGAGTTACCAACGGATGAAGTTACCTTCTGGGTGTAATATGGCTCGAGTTCTCGAAAGTGCACATCCATGCTCACAAACAACCTTTTCTCCACCGGGCTCCAACAAACATATCCCTTCTGAGTAGCAGAATATCCCACAAAGATGCACTTCACAGCTCTAGGGGCAAGCTTCCCGACAGATGGCCTGTTGTCCTTCACAAAGCACACACAGCCAAACACTTTGAGTGAAAGGATCCCACCATTATCTCCCTTCAATATCTCACACGGAGACTTCCAATCCAACACTCTCGAGGGCATTCTGTTGATCAATGCTGCTGCGGTCAATACTGCTTGCCCCCATAATATTTTTGGGACATTCATAAAGATCATCATGCTTCTAGCAACCTCTAAAAGATGTCTGTTCTTCCTTTCCGCTACCCCATTCTGAGCTGGTGTGTATGGACAGGTTGTCTGGTGATGTATTCCTTGAGCCGACAAATATTCTTCAAAGGCTCTGTTGGTATACTCTGTCACATTATCTGACCTCAATACTTTCACCACTGCTCCGTATTGAGTCTGAACAGTCCTATGAAAATTTTAGAAGCACCCAAACACATCACTCTTATTCTTCATCAGGTATAACCAAGTAACACGAGAGAATCAATCAATAAATGTAACAAAATACTTGTATCCATTCATAGAACTTGTGGAACAAGGCCCCCAAACATCTGAATGTACCAAGTCAAATGCATGAGAACTTCTATGACCAGAACTAACATAAGAGCTTCTAGTAAGCTTTCCAAACTCACATGCATCACACACAAGTTTCTGTTTATTTGCTTTCTCAAATAAAGAAGGATACAATCTACCTAAAACACTAAAGGATGAGTGTCCCAAACGCTGGTGATGAAGCATTAACTCATTTTCAGCACTCATTTTATATCCTACTCCTGCTTCCTCTATGACTGACACAAATGCTAAATCCAGCCCTTCACGATCCAGATACCACAGTCCACTACGCCATGTGCCAGTCCCAAGTCTCCGTCCTGTCCCCTTCTCTTGGAAAATCACCTTGGGAATATCAAAAGAAACAATGCATTTTAGTTGGAGGATGATAGAACTAATGGACAAAAGATTGACTGGAAAGGAAAGAGCATGCAAAACATTGGACAAAGTCACAGAACCAGTACAATCGACTGTACCCTTACCAACCACCGGCTGAAATGTACCATCAGCTGTTTGAATACTATCAGGCGATGCTAAGTGAGTATATGATGAGAACTCACTAGCATTACCTGTCACATGACGAGACACATCGGAGTCGACTATCCATGCTGATGATCTGTCAGGAGACATAGAAGCAAGAGCATGTATGTCATCAGTACCTTTGGTCGGATGAGCATAGCTAGCAGTGTTGCCTCTGGCGAAGAACGAAGTGGATGCCTCCGCAGTCCCACTCCTCAAATCTCCATCCCCTGCTATTTGCTGTTTTTTCCTGAGTATCGTGAGGAGAACACGATCCTCCTCTGTAAAGACCACCTCAGCTTCTTCTTCTTCTGCTATCGTCAGATTCGCCCGATTTCCTGCTCCCCTTCCACCTCGTCGACCCCCACGGCGATGACCACGACCTCCGAACTGTCCACGTCCACCCGAATCTCCTTTCTTGGATGGCTTGGTGCAAGCATGCCTTAGATGACCCACCGCACCGTAGTTGTAGCACTGTCGGGTCTCTCCCCTAGATCCCAGTGCTGACTTCACCACAGGAAGTGCACATGTCCCCGCCTGCAGCCGAATGCGAGTCTCCTCCTGGATCATAGCAGAGGCAGCCTCCTCAAGCGTAGGAATCTTCGGCTGAGCTAGCAGCAATGCGATTCGCTGAGCGAACTCTGATGTCAATCCTTTAAAAAACACCATAGTCCTCTCTTGTAGAAAGACCTCCCGCTCTTTACATCCCGGGTCCTTGCAGCTAGCCCGGGGAGAAAAATGATCATAATCCAGCCACACTCCCGCTCTTTACATCCCGGGTCCTTGCAGCTAGCCCGGGGAGAAAAATGATCATAATCCAGCCACAGGCGCTCCAGCTCTGTAGCATATTCCTGTACAGTCCTCTCTCTCTGGACTTTGGCGTCGATCTCTCCTTTAATCTGGAATACCCTCAGGTTATTCCCCACTCCATCATATGTCCTCCTCAACTTCTCCCAGACGTCCTTCACCTTCTCAATGCCATCCACCGTGGCGGCGATCGTCGGGACCAACGAGTTGAGAAGCCAGATGTACACCAACATATGAGTGGACTTCCACTCATCTCTTCCCTCCGAGTCCTCCTCCGGTTCTGTCGCCTCTCCTGTCAAGTAACCCTCCAGGTTCCTCCCTGCAAGGGTGTATCCCCCCCGCCGCGACCAGCTCAGGTAAGTCCTCGGTCCATCAAACTTCAGATCGATAGTCGGAAGCTCCAACTTCTTCGATGGTTTTGTCGCACTCTCACCAGCCGACAACTTCATTAGCTTCATTAAAGTTGACACCTCCGCAGGGTTCAACTTCTTGATGATCTCCTCCATCGAATAGGCTTCAGACCTACCACATGTTCACCTTCTCTTTCTATCCTTGTTGTATGCAATAAAAATTTCGGCAACACCTCTGCTGCACAACAAGAGTAGGATCTCAAACAAATTCTCGTTTCTCAGAGGAAACAAGAACCAAAACCAGTTATATATCTCATCGATGTGAGATATATACTCTTCATGTCATCAGTTCGAGGACTGAGTCAAGGGAACCCATGCCAAACTCTAGGTCCGACATAGCGCAGCAGGGGGGGCTTGAGGTGGCAGCGGCTAGGAAAGGGTTTGGAGGTGGCAGCAGGGGGGTCTGGTCGGGTCTGGGGGGTTCTGGTCGTAGGGTTTAGGGGGCGGCTCTGATACCATAAAGAATATGAAAACCCTAATTCATTATGAGATCTCTTGGGCTTTATATAGGCCCCTACACAACTTACAAATAAGTCCCTAACTAATACTAATATGTCAACAAACACGCATAGTAACTCATAGCGAAAGGAGCTAAATTCCTTATCCCGAAAATAACATTGCATATCAAAATCAACTATCTAAATCCAATAGAAAATATTGTCTCATATAAAACCAACTTAGACGAAAAAGAAGTTATCAAAGGCATTTGTATCCTACCACACAATACCTGTCATATCATAATAATTCACCAGTACACAGGCATGGCAAAAGAATATGCTATCCCAAAATGGATGCTTAGCAGCTTAGGTCAGGGTACTTGCCACAGCTATGGTGATCATTTGCACCGGAAATAAGATAAATAAGAACTTGTAATCAATAGAAGTTCTAATTTATAGCCTCTGTTTAAAGAAACACTCACATGAATATTACAGCTTGGAAATTTTTTCTACACTAGATGTTCATGTGAATCATGCACTGCATAACGATAACTAGATGTACAGGTTGCAATTCACTCTCTTAGATTTTTCTATATTAGATGTTCATGCACTACATGCCTTATGACAGTGACCTGATCCACCATTTTCCATTGAACAATACCACGTTATATTTGATCATAAACTGCTCCTCACTTCAATATGCATATTTATTTGGAAACAGATGTGAGAACCTACCAAGAAATTTTATAGATCTCCTGTACAAAATTTACTAACATCAAAAAAAGATATTAATGGGAGAAAATCAACATGAAGAAACTGAAACGAAGAGCTCAGCAACTTGTGTTGTTTGGCAATGACTGACTCAAAGGAAAGAGCTAGGGGTGTAAAATGTCATTCGCTGGCTTAAAGATATGATGTAAGCAAAAAAGGAATTATCAGATGAAAACTGAAGTTTAATATTGTTCTCTAAATGAAATATAATGTGCACAAGAGAGGACGATTGGTCTGGCAAAAAAAAACCTGGAGCTGATAATCCTAGACAGTTACAGAACCCAATAAGTGATGGCTCGTGCACCTGTATAAATGGTAAAAGAATTCTACGACAAAACTAGATAGTCACCATCCCTTTTCCTTTTGTTTTTCTCTTATTTGTTTCAGTATGTATACTATATGAGTAATAAACGTAGAACTGTAAAATGAAAACAGTACCAACAAGATAGGTATTTTCTTTAGGAATTCAGAATACAATGATTAAGTAGTGCAAATTTCTGAATAAATCAGATATAAAGAAACGTGCTCCTGAAAATTTGGCAGACAAAAGTAAAGTAATAAAAGTACTACATATGATTGCTTAGTGTCATGAATCAAAATTAAATTCAGAATAAGTCTGAAATCACTTAGCTTTGATATCCCACTAAATGTATTAAAGTACCTTTGCTCTGAGTTTCTTAAACCAAGGACTGAGAGAGATTGTTCCTGCAGCAACATACTAAAACATATCAGTAGAAACTCCTTATAAGCAAAAAAATACTTCATTGGATATCAACTCAATCAAAAGAATTAATATTTTGATCCAGACAAAATTGCTAAACCTTTGAAGGTAAGCGGTGATTATTTCGATTTTGAGATCTTCTGGATAATCTGCAGGCTCCTCGATTCACAACCGTTTCAAGATTGCTACTAATCCTTTCATTGTCACGCGGCATTTCTGTTTGAGCTGTATATGCACAAATAGATTTTAAATAGGCAGAGTGGATCATCCAGTAAAAAGAATAATAAAGAATAAGGAGAATGCACAAATTATTTCAAAATATACACACCATTCCTACAAGAAAGAAGGGAATATAAATCATCTTATAGACCTAACACTGCTCATGATAAAACGATAAGAAAAAATGGGTCATGTTTCTAA